ACACACACACACACACACACACACACACACACACACACACACACACACACACACATTGCGGTTACCCCGAGAGAGAGCGCGACATAATTGACAGACACATTATGGTTACTCGAGAGGAGAGATCGATAATCTGGGATAAAGCGAAATAAAGTAAGAGACTTTATTTTTTTATTGTATATATATTTTTTGCTTTTATTACATATATTTGTAAATTAATATATTTAAAAAAGAATTTTTTATCGAACATACGATTCCCAGGGTTGTTTATTATTGTTGTTATTCCTCAAGATCCGGTAGACTCCGGGGCTGAAGGGGAAGGTGTTATCATACAATGCCGCTGCTTCTAGTAGTTCTTCTTGTCGTTGTCGTTCCTCTGGTGGGTTACAGCCACCAGGTCTGACCATCATTCGTGCAACATGAAGATATTTTTCATGGCGCAGACTCTGAGGCTGGGGTGTTGGCCGCATCTGGGCGTCGTCGATGAGGCCAATCGCTGTAAACACTGCATTCTTCTAATGTCTTCGTAGTCCACGTCGATGTTTTTCACAATTATGTCGTGACAATTGTGGTGATGGTTCGTTTCTCGTTGATGCTCCAGGATATTAGTCAGCCAGATTTTCTTCTCGTCTCCCTTCACGTAAACGATCTTCCTTCTTCCTCCTCTCAGCTCCTCTCTTTCCTCCTCTTCCAATTCGTGGCAGAGCGCGTGTGGATATTCGATTCCGCTCTCCAATAAGCGATATTTCCGTTGTCCCATCGAAAACCGTGATGATTGGTTGTCAGCCATTGAGCTTGGGATTTTTCGAATGCCGTCAGCTCATCGGCGACAGGAACAATTTGTATGTTTGTTCTTTTTCGTTCTTCTTCAATATCGCCGCTTCTTTTATTATAAAAGTTTTGTTCCTTCCCACGACGAATTTTTGCAGATTCGCAAATATAGGTACCGTTTGGATCTCCTTCTCCTCCTCCTCCTGCTTAGTAGGAATGTAGCGGAATGGCTCTATAATAATCTTCTAATTTTGACGTATGTGAACGACAACGATAATCTTTTTTTTTCGATAGCGAGAGCGCGGAGCGAGCGTTTATTTTCCACAAATCGATGGCATAATGCAAGATTCGCGCGTGTGATACCCCTATACGAGGGTGGTCTGAAAAGTTTCCGACCTCAACGTGAAGATAGCAGCACTTGTAAATAAAAGCTAGTGAATTTCGTTGTTCATCTGTTGACAGTTACTCACCGAAGTTTCAGCCATTTTGGACTCGCAGTTGTTATGTAACAGTCGTTTGAGTAAGTTGATGTGAGTGTTTTTGTGAAAATGGACAAAATCGAGTATCGAGCTGTCATTAAATATTT